ATAAAATTTGTAAAAAGAATTACTCACAAGAATATGATTAATAGATATTTAAATATTAAAGTTTTTAATATTTACAAATTATATTAAATTTACTTTTTAATATTTAAAGATTACATTAAATTTTGATTAATTAAAATCAAGTCGGATAAATCTTTCCAAAAACTTGTCTCTCCATTTTCAAAGTATGATTAATAGATAACTTAGAGAAGAAAATTTATTAAAACTACAAAAGTAATTTTATAGTCTCGTGCATACTGCACATAAAACTAGAGATCCAGATTCATTACAAATGAAAACACATTCTTTTAAAAAAGTTTCAATTAAGAAAAAGCAAATTATATCTTTAAATAAATTTTTTTTAAAGATTATATTTTTATTTGTATCAAATCTCCAAAATAAAATTTTATATATTTTTTTAACTCACTACATTTCTGTAATTTAAATAAAGTTCTTTTTAAGGAGCATACTTAACATACTTCTTTATAATGAATTTATATTTAAAAAAAGTGTTGACTTTAAATTAATTAATTAATCAATTAAAATCATTTATATTTTAATAGTATTAAAATAAATATCAATTTTTATAATTTTTTATATAAATTAATTATAAAAACTACATTTATCACACAGGAGGGCACAAATTAGACAAGTGCTTTAAACAATTAAATGGGATTTAAACCACATTGGATGGGTATTAGCTCTTGATAAAAATTTAGTTTTTAAAAAATTATTATGCAATTTAAATTAAGCATATCATACAATTTGTTTTTTAAAGTAATGAACTATAAATTTAAAATTTTTAGTATTTAAAATTAACCTGTCTTTAATTCAATTTTCACATACCTTAAAACTAATTTCTTGCACCCTCCACATTATTTTATTGCATTTAATCTTAATCTTGATCTATAAGACAAAACTTATTTATAAGCAGCTCTAACCCCTAGGTCATTGAACTATAAATTTATATGAAATAATTATAGAAGACTTTCAAATTTAGATTCAAACACTTCACAATAAAGGAATATTATTTTGCAATATATCCCACACAAACTTCATCTATTTTAATCATTGATAGAGAACTAAGCCACAATATCAAGTAGCATGCTTTTAATCAATGATTATAAAAAATGTAATTCACACACTTTTATGTAACAATAAGCCCTAACACAATTTGCTAGATTTTGAACGATATCAATACTAAATGTTCATTGCAGTTATAACAGAAAAGTATCCATTTGAGAGCACATTCCGCACATGATACAAGGAAGAAGCTACATCCTATCTGGATTTCAGTAATTATTCGCAATCTTAGACACCGAAGAGTATGTCCCCAGAGTTGCACAAACGATGCCCATTGCAATCACAATGTAAGTCAGAACCATCTGATTATATGTTAAAAACCTTCAATTAGTGAACACAATTAATGATGAATGAATGTAATCAGAATTAGTTTTTTTGCCGTCTGGTACAGGTTAGACAGTAGTAAAAAGTTTAAAAAAAAAAAAAAATCATTCTGGTACATTAAAGTTCATTTGAAGATGAAGTACCTCTATGTAACTGGTATAAAGAGTGAGCATACCTGTGCCTTTGTAGCTTTCTTCCCCACAATTTTAATGAAACACAGAGCTGGTATTAGTATAGTCTGGAAAAAAATAATGCATATGAGTCATCAGAGGGTAATTCAATTCTTTGAGTATTCTATAAGAAGGAATTATAGGTGGTGGAAATGGAAATGAACTGATTTTGTAAGATTTGAAGTCTCAGAATTTGATCTAGTATGTTACTACATTGGCAAAATGGTTCTGGGGTATGCTTACCACACATATACTAAGCAGAGAACCAATCAAGGCCATCACAAGACCTGAAATTTAAAAGAAGTAATGTGGTTATGGTAAGGATCCTTTGGAAGCTAAAACATATTACTTAATGATGAATACCAGATATTGCAATATATAGGAAATGTGGAAGAGAACAGATTCTGATATCTACCGAAGAATGGTAAAAGAAACGCCACGAAAACAGTGGAAAAGACAAGCGCTGCTCTTAGAAGAAGGAAGCACCATAAACTTTTTGAAATCCGAGGTGGTAGTAGCTCCTCTATGCCCCGGGCTAAAGGAGCCATCAGCAGTGCAAACTTGTTTACTGTCAAGGAAGAACATGTGCAAAATGGAAGAAAAAGAAGAAAAAGATAACAAGTAAAAAAACGCACTGAGATGACAATAAAATTTATTAATCACCAAAAGGATATTTGGTTAACGGGTTGATAACCTGCAAAATTATAAGAAATGTAAGCTCAGAAATCATGGTAGCATCATACATACAAACATAATCCATAATCTCAGATACCCTTACTGTTGTCCATAATGCAATTTTAGTAATGAATGAATTTGGGGGCAAATTCAAAGTTATCTGCGACAAGGTGCCATGGCCAAACTCGAGGAATCCCATGATTGCAGTACCTCCATACAATATTGTAGCCAGAAGGAGACTGCAGAACAAGAAACACAAAGTTAAAAGGAGAGGCAAGTGAGGAAGAAAAATCTTTCTGCACCTGAACAAAGTTCTTTACCATATCATGATTGCCTGCTTAAATTTGGTTTTATCAGCCATTGATTGATAGATATTTGGAAAGATAGAATGCCCTGCATAGCAAAATCCATAGACACCAATAGCAAACGGAATGCCACTCCATTTTACTGCTGGACCAGTATGATGGAAACCAACACCTCCTGCTGTACCAATAAATATCACACAAATCACTACGACCAGTGTTGCAACAATGCCACCAGCTGCATTATGTAAAACAAATGGTGACATGAGTTCAAAATGCATATTTCTTGGTTTTTGTTTTTTGATACTTAGAGCTGGGAAACTTTGATGCAACAACATCTTTGACATGCCTGAAAGATACGAAAGCAATCGGTTATCTTTCAACCAAACAGTTGGTAGAACAGTTAGGGCAGCTAAAGTTCCAAATAAATGCACAGAGTCCATCTTGAAAGCATTCCATTCCAAAGAAACCCCAGGGAATACTTTGGTGAGGTTGTCCCCTTCCAAAATAATGAACTCCACAGAATATGACTGCATTAGTTGAAACATGAAACTATAAATTGGCTCAAAACTGCTGTAGTGTGATTGGATGAAAGGTAAATCAGAATCAGACTTGACTTACAAATAATTCTACGTACAACAGGATCTGCATCAGCATCAATGAAGACAGTGTTAGAAAGTCGAACAATAAATCCAGTATTTTATCCAATCTACATGAGCATCATTTTCATCAAAATGACATGTAACAATTAACACACTAGATGGAGGTGTAAAATGCATGATGAGCGATTAGAAGGTTACATAAACATGCTTAGCAGAATAAACAATGTGCCTTCGAATAAGGGAATTAGATTCAAGAAGAATACACAGTAATAGTAGGATATGAGTACTGGTTCTGATGCCAATGAGGCCTGACTAACTTTTCATTATGGTAAGAAAGAAGGTGCTAGAGTAACTTACAGAAACCAAAATGCGCCCAAGTCTTCCAAAAGCAGCTTCTCCCATATCTGGGTAGGTTATTATCTCTTCTCTGCTCTCAAAGCAAGATAGCATAAGTGTAGCTGTGAAATAACATACGACTGAGAAAAAAAGTAGAACTGCAAAACTTGCCCAGCCTGCTTGTTCTATTGTGAAAGATGTAGATAGGATCCCAACTCCAATCATTACATTTATCACTGCCCCAGAAAACCAAAAAACACAAGGTTAAAATTAGAACAGCAAGGCACATCCTGAAAATTCAACTATCTCCTAAGTCGTTAAATTTTCAAAAAATGTGCTTAATGAACCGTTTTTCATCTCTTCAATGCAAGTAACAATGAATCCAAATATAGATGAAACAAACAAATGTAACTAATTTTCTTCCCCATCTCACCTACGCAAAATTAAAACATCATATAACACTAAGTTCTACCCTCAATGTTGAAACACATATATGGGGAAATTTTTATCAAAAACACTTAAAGTTTTCAAAGCAATTATTGGAGCTTACCATTAAAGACGGTCTGGACAAAAGAACATCCAGAACCAATGGGTAACTCTGCTGTATGTTGAGAATGAGATGAAGATTTGTCTATCCATGATGACTGTACTCTAGATATCCTATCTAAATCCTCCTTTTGACCAACGTTTGGATCTTCAGGCAGCAAAGGGAGTTTTGCTTCCAGGTCCAAATTGCTTTTGTTGTGGTTGTCCAAAAAGCTTAGACGTTTGACACTAGGAACACCTCCAAATATTCCAAAACTTGGAGAAGTTGCAATTGAATCCATTGACTCCCTGAAGCCAATATCAAGAAGCACAATCAATTAGAGTGAGCACATGATGGTGCATCAATTCACAAAACATAACAATGATTATACAGAAAAATTAAGAAAATAACAATCACTTTACAATGATTTAACAGAAACATAACTAATTCATGCATTCTTACACAACCATTAAACAACACCAGCTTTAGAAAGCAAAACAATTTGATCCCCTTTATCACCTTCTCTTTTCAAACTGAATTTCAAGGTTATGTGACAAGTTGTTAACTGCTGAAATGTTAACATATATTCAAGAAGAGTCATCGACAATTATATGAAAATTTAACGTGTTACTCAAACTGAGCGTAAGGTAATTTGATATTTGAAAACTCTGAAAACTCAACACAACAGCGCATGGATTTTTCTTCAAACATCAAATTAGACAAAATCAACATCAACTGATAAAAGCAAAAGCAATGATATGTCTGCACATCATGAACTGTTTATGTAAAAGGGCAGAAGGGCATTACTTGAAACTCCGCGGCCATTGCTGGGAAGAGTAAGTGGCGGGAGAGAGGCCTCCTTGCCCATCATCATTTCCCTCTCCATCACTGCTACTACTACTGCTACTCCCATCCATCTGAAAATCCATCTTCCCTTCCATGTCTTCACCCTCATCATAATCATCATTCTCCATGAAGAACTCTTCGTCTTCCCACTGCTTTTGATCCTTCTCTGCCATATCAAAACACCCAAAAGGCACAACAACACCCCTTTTCCTCAAAACCCAGAAATTAATCAAACACAGAAAATTAAATATATGTGGAGAGCAAATGATATATATAGATCAAAAGAAATGGGATAACATGATTTTTTTCTTCCTTTCCCTTTTTATTGACGATGGAATGCAGTTTCTGCAAATATTCTAGAAGACAATGGTGACTTTGTGTCGTTGTGTCGTTGTGTTCAGTTTAAGGGAAGGGAGAGGATTCGTGGGGTGGGGCTGTCAACGAAAGGTGCAGAAGAAGACAAGTAAAGGACGTTTTCCAAGATTTTTGGCTCATCCGTGAGGTACAATGATGTGTCAGAGCCGTGGCAGATATTCATAGATGTCAGGATTGAGCTGGCTTGTCGGAACTTGGAAGGTTCTTGATTTCTGCCAACGCGCCATCTTTAGCAGGTGAAGGGGGCTTCGTGTTTAGGGATATTTTTATAGGTTGACGTGCTCGGAAGGATTTCAGTTTGAGCAGTGCCAGGGACACTCGCCCTTTGCACTCTCCGGCCGGCACTTCCCTTGGGCCACGTAAGTTTGTTTCGGCTTTGCGGTGCAGCCTCTTTCCAACTAGAATAACGTGGCCCAATAAAAGTGAAAGTGGTCGCCGGAGAGTGCAGGAGGCGAGTGCCCCTAGCACTCCTCTTTCTTTTTTTTTTGGTGGAACTAGCACTCCTCTTTCAGTTTTATTAAGCAACGTTTTCGATTTGAGTTTTATATATAAAAAATAGAATTTTTGTAAGATTTGAGATGATTTGATTGAAAATTAATTAAAATTTAATACAATCTTTTAAATATTATAGAGTTAATATAACAAAATTAATGACTAATTATTGTTATAATGTATAGTTTCAAATAGAGAAAAAAAGTATATGTTAGTCTTGATTTTTAAAA